AATTTTGAGAAAAAAAAAAAAAAAACCTACACGACAACAATAAATAAAGATTATTCTCAATAACATTGAGTCAACGTAATTCTTCTTTTGTCACTTTAGTCGATTCATCAATAAATTCACTAAAGCAATCAGATAAGATGTTTTATAACCACAATCTACTTTTGGATTATATCCTTCTAAACCTATTAGGATTTAGGATCATAGTTAGATATTAGTGTAATTTAAGTTACTTTGTTATTAACGTTTTATAAATTTGGTTATGGTATATGTTGGAAAATGGGTCAAGTTTGACCAAAAATTCGGGTGGGACCCGGTATTCGGGTGGATATGAGTTCCAATCCCACATAGGTTGCAAACACAACCTTGAACCACTTTATAAACTCCAAGGTTGGAAATGGGTTTGGGCCCCAAGGGGTACCAATAGTCTTTGAAAGGGGGAAGTTTTAGACAATGTCTAGACAAGTCCAAGCCTACACGCGCGCGCTGCCGTCCGGCCGGCTTGGCACGAGCACGGGTCGGGTCGTGGTTGGTTCTATATTCTTTTTGGATAGTATATTCCTCACATCCCATAAAAATAGTCATATTTTCCTTTTTGGTCTATCTCAAATTATAGTCTTATTTCTTATTTGAGAGTGTAGTTACTATATTAGTTTTCTAATATACGCCTACTTAATGTCCTTTGTTATTATAAATATAAATCACTTCATTAGTCAATTGTAGTTAAAAAAAAAAAATAAAAAAAATCATTTCCAATGCCATTTATTCATTTGTATTTTTATTAGATGACTTTCGAATGATAATTATCTTGATTCTTGCATTAAACAATGACTAGTATCAATAATAGTTTAATTACCATGAATATTATATGCATAATTTAATTACCTTAAATATTGATTACATTATTGAAGTGGTATATTAGGAAAAATGATAATGAAATTTATTACTTCAACTATATTAATTAAATTTTCTTAATCTGTATGGAAAAAAAAATAAGACTATTTCTATGAGATAGAGGGAATATCTTTTTATAGTTTAATAAATATGAAAAAATGGGACAAGGTCACAAGGTGTAACTCTACGTAGGACCACACAAAACTTTTGAATCGAACGATTCTTCTTAAATTAAATACCCAAACGGATATCTGAATCAAGAATTGACATATTTGGTTCGATTCTCGGTTCTAGGCAAAAGACCGAAGAACTGAATCTCCCCAATTTTTTAAATTTTTTATCTTAAATAAGTCAAATTATTTTATTTTTTTAAAATAAATTTGCTAACTAATTAATTTAGTTCAAACATAAAATATATTTTACTATTTCTAATTTCCAGTCGAGCCCAACTTAATCAAATTGACCTAAATTTTATTATTCTATTGTAGTGTCGTTTTTGGCGTTCTATTATTGTAATCATCATCTTCTTTTGATTTTAACAATCAAATTTATGAAGAACTCAATGAATAAATGTGCAAAAAATATCATGAGATTGAACTACGTTATTTTGTAAGAGTTAAGATTGAGCATGTCATAGTCGAATTAATGTAGCGTTATTGTAATATAAAAAAATTAATTATTGTACGGAACTCGAGAATCGAAACTGAATCGAATCCGAACAGTTCCATAATTAAATTTGGATCCGACAGTTCCATTTACTAAATACCCGAAAATTCGACTTCGGTTCGATACTATGCCCAACTCTAATTCTACAAAACAGTGTAAATTATACCCAAAAACATGAAACAAACTTTTGTCATTTGTGGGGGTGTTTGTTTGGGAGGGATTATTTGAAATGAAAAATATTTTTTTTAAAAGAATTTTATATAATTTAAAAGAGTAGAAAAATTATGGATTCACGTTTTTAAAAAATAATTTTCAAATAAGTCCGCCAAAATTGACATTTTTTGGTGACATAAAGATTGATAATGCACCAAATGTTAAAATGTGTACCTTTGCTTCGAAGGTTAGTACAAGTAGGTACGCTACCAAATTTGGGCCATAAGATCAACACATCTCGTAATATAACCGTAACCCCAACATTGAATTTGATTCACTCAAAAAGACATTTTTATCCTCGTAACAGGCCAAAAGGAAAAAGAAATATGTCGCATAACGTTGAATTTGAATCCCTAATTAAGAATTCAGAAACCCAAGAACCACCGCAACAAGGAAGAGCTCCTCCGTCCGAAACCCCATCCTCTGCCGTTTCCAGCACCACCACAATGGTCGATACTGAAAATGAAGAATCCCATTCGAACAATTCTGATCCGCCAAAGTATCCCAATGTTTCGTTCAGCATTTGGCCACCGAGGGAGCGCACTCGGGACGCCGTGAGGAACCGTCTTATCGAGACCCTTTCCACACCCTCCATTCTGTCCAAGCGCTACGGCACCATGTCGGCCGAGGAAGCCGTGGAGGCAGCCAAGATCATTGAGGAGGAGGCGTTCCAAGCAGCGGGGGCGACAACCACCACTGAGGGTGATGGGATCGAGATTCTGCAGATCTACTCTAGGGAAATCAGCAAGAGAATGCTGGACACTATGAAGGCTAAATCTGGTGAACCGAAGCCAGAAGCTGAAGACAAGGATCAGCCCAAGGAGGAAGATGCGGAGTCCACGGCTCCACAACAGAGTGAGAAAATTGAGGCTTCTGTTGATGATGAATAAGCTTGCATCACATGTGAGATTTTTTTTTTCTCCTAGTGGAATCTATGCTGCCATGTTTATTATGCTGAGATCTATCTTGTAGTTTTTATGAATCCTTAGATGCTAATAAAATGTAGTGGTTCTTTTCAGTATACATTAACTTCTTTTTGTTCAGTTTCAACAATGTACTTTAATTAATCGTTTTTCGGCTTATTTTGGTTTGTTTTGGATTTATGTGCTGGTGAATTTTCGGGCTTACTATATTGTGATTGCAGTAACATGTGCTGATATTCCTTCGTTTCAAGCCAATTAATATACATGAAAAAAAATTGAGAAATGAAATATAAATTAAAAGTTGTAGAAATAAGATTTTTTTATGGTATTATTAGTACTTTCCAACCATTTTGTGGGAGGTTCGGTTCTTTGTCTTGAGTCTAGAACTGTGAACCGAACCCATTGGTTCTCAGTTCCGATACCCATTACTCGATTTAACTTAGGAACGGAATGCGCAGTTTGGTTTGGTCAGGGACTTTTGTCCACCCCTAGATAAACACTTCGGTACCTAATTAAGCCTATTTAAACACTGTGCACATGCTAGTTGATTGTTTTACACTATGCTGTTACAAGCGTGTGGAGAGTGTGAATGCTATGGCTGAAAGAAGATGCTTTATTCTGATAAGTAATCATTATCATTAAAGAAATCAAAAAGGTTGGACCAAATTCTTCTTTAGGGATGATCATTTGCTTTTAATCTCATTGTTGGCAGAATCCATATTAGATGGGGGCAACACAATGATTACACATTATACATGTGAAACACATGTACTACTTATTACTGAGTGTCTTTTTTCATTTTGATAAATGAGATAATTCAATTCCATAGTTTAGGATTTAGTTTCTTGATTTGCAACTGCTGTGCAGTCTACTGTTTAAATTAGTGTATATATGAAACACTTCCCCACGAATTACCTACATCTACAGCAGCCATGGTTACATCCCTGTTGCCATTTTTAGTTAAATCTAATCCTGAATTATTGCTTTCGAACTGTGGGATGAAGTATTTTTGGACACCTAGTTTATGAACATTTGTATATGAGTGATGTTATGGAAGAGTATGGTTTAGAACAATTTCTCTCTTTTTTTTTCTTTGCTGCAAACCACTAGTTATGTAGATGAGGAGTTAAATGACTTCTTGTTTGAGATATTAAATTGTTTTACATTTTACAGCCAGAAATTTTTCCTGCCTGTGCTACCGGTATGAATTGATACGAGGACACTATGGAGAATGTGGTCAGAAGTTTGTTTTACTTGGGATGACTTTTTTAATTAATGGAATTTTTGTGGTTGTCCTGTGAATAGGCGTCTGTAATTCTTGAAATCTTTTAGTTTTCAGCAACATAATTGATTATGATTTTGGATGGTGGATAGATGTGATTTATTTTGAAAATTAAGAAATCCATTTGGAAGTTCTTTCAGCAAAATCTTGTTTTGTGTTCATGATACAAGAAAATTTGGTACCATTGTTTGATTATAAGAACTGGAGACGAAGACTATAATGGAATTTTTGGTATTCATAGTGGATATTGACACACTATAAATGGGGAGGACCTACCCCGCCTTGCCTTAAAGCGAGGACAGGGAGTGGGGTGCCCCACCCCGACCATTTTTGTTTGCTATAAACAAGTTAAGTTTGTTTCACATGCTCCTACTACATTGACAAGCTTGCAAAATAGTTTTGATTATGTCAATAGTGTATACAATTTGCAGCTAGTCTCTGTCTTGGAGGAAATTATTGATGCTGATTGCCCTAGTGGTGTGGTCAATAGAAGGCGGCCTACTATGCAATATTTCATTTATTTAGGAGGAAATTTGATTGTGTGGAGTTCAATGAGACATAAGGTATTAGCTAGATCAAGTACTATGGATATCGTGCTCTTTCAAGCTGCAACAGAGTTGGCTACAAAAGTTCTGCTTTGTCCAATCCTATATTATGATAATATTGACCATGTCTTGTGAGCTTCAAAATTCAAACCTAGCTATTTCTTCGTACAAGAATTTAACTTGTTGAGCTAGAAGTCATTTTGTTTGAGAGAACTAGATCAGATGTTCGATATTCCCAACTAAAAATCAAGTAGTTAATATCTTAGCTAAACCATTAACTATTTGTAGTGTTGTGCTGCTTTGTAGGCCAAGCTGTGTTTCGTTTGATGAGTTACAGACTGTATATTAAGCAAGATAAGTTGTCTGCTTGTAACCTTTGTTATACCACTCCTTCTCTCTTCAAAGGTACTTCAAAATGTTCTTTCTCCTCTGTTAATTAACCCGTTGGTCATGCAACGATCTCATCATGTGGTTTGAGCTGTGTCTGGCTGTGGAGCCTGTGTTTGACGGTGGTGCACAGCTCAAGTTGGCATGCTTGGTGAGGAACGTAGCCCCTTTGATAATTCTAGTGAAAAGTTTGGATTGTCCTTGACGTTGAGTTGAAGATGGTGCATACCAAGAGTAGTCTTTATCATGCTCGTCGCCATTGTCGTCGTTAAATTCAGGTGCTTTGATAAACTTTTACCAAACCTGAAGAGCATAATTTGTATTCCAGTTATATGCGAGACAATGCAGACTGCAGTGCAGAAGTACTTATATTTAATTGATTATAACTTATAAGCTTATTGGAATTTCTAATTAATCTAAGTAGCCATTAACAAATAAACGAAATATGTTTTTTAATAGAAAAAGTATAATAAGTACACACACTGCTAAAAATTGCACTAAAACGCTTATATCAAGAGCGCTCATTTTCTCACTTCACAGCATAAATTGAAGAACTAAGAATTTTTACGTCTATCCATAAATTTGAAAATTTTGAAAAATAGTAAATCGTGTAGGTTGATGTACTAATTTAATGTCCAGCTCCAGGGCTTGGACCAGATTTCTTGATATCCTCTAGAGATGAAACATTAGAAGATTGATGTCCTTCTCCACCGTGACTTGGCCCTCCAGACTTTATTGCCTTAGCGTATAATTTCTCAATTGGACTTTCAACAGAATAATGGTGTTTTGTTGTGCCCAAAGGACTAGATTTCTTGATGTCCCCTAGAGTTAAAGCATTAGGAAATCGATGTCCTTCTCCATTGTGACTTGGTCTTCCAATCTTTGACGCTTCGACATATAATTTCTCAACTGGACTGTCAACGGAATGTTGTTGTTTTCCCGTGATCAAAGAATTAGATTTCTTGATGTCCCCTAGAGTTAAAGCATTAGGAGATCGATGTCCTTCTTGATCATGACTTGACCTTTCAGTACTTATCTCTTCAGCGTATAATTTCTCGACTGAACTTTCTATAGAATGGTGTTGTTTTCCCGTGCTTAAAGGACGTGCTTCATTCATGAAGGAAAATGAGCCTAAGAGAAGAAGACACGAGACAAGTTGTAGAGATTTTAGTATTGTGGCCATTTGATAGTATTGCAAGTAATAAAATGTTGGGAGTAGTTCTTGAATTAGAATTGCTAAGAGGCGATTTTGTGAGAGAGCGTAGATTGTTACTCCATATATATATAGTGTGCAATGTGCATGGCATGGAAATGAAGTTGCTACGTAAAAGACATTTGATTGACTGTTCAATTTCGATTTCAATTTCAATTTCTATTTCGGGGTTGTTTTATGGAGCCGCCACTTTAGATGCAGCAAATCGGTTTTGGTAAAATGGCCAACGTTGAATGTTGTCAACTATGCAAGTCTGAACACAGTGTGTGTATATATTTTTAATGTGGAAGAATTTTCAGTGCCTTTTTCTTATTATTTTAACCTTTCCCACCCAACATACCCCTACGTAACTGCCAACGTAATGGATTTTTTTTTTTACTCACTTTCCTAATTAGTTTATGTTTCGATTTGAAAATTTCGATTTTACATGAAATAATTGAACACTTACATTGGTATTAGAATATGGTTAAGGATTTCATAATTTTCCTTAATTTAAAGATTCCTACGGCCCTGTTTGATTGCAAATTTTTCATGGAAAATGTCACATCTAAGAAAAACGAATTTCACTTTAACCGTTTGATTGCAACGTGGAAATGGATACCTAATTTCAAGGTACAATTATTTTAAACTGTATTTTCTTTGTGTTTATGGAAAATGAATTCCTATGGGTTTGGTGAGTTTTATTTTTCAACTAATATGAAATTGTAATTTCTTTTCACCTTTACCTATCAAACAGACCCTAAAATGTTTATTGAGAAAATAAATTACAGTCTCCTCTTTTCATATTCTGTGAAATATATGCAATAATATGAAAGTTTTGTTGCGACTGATGAACTCATAATAATCGCAGCAATTTCATTTTTTACAGTTAATGTCACGAATTTGTTGGATTGGATTTACAGTTTTGTTGTCTAGTGTATATGTTAATGGTGGGTCCTATTTGATTTTCAATGATGATTTATAAATAAATAAAAATCAATATTGATAAGGGAATAATATTGTGGATTCCTTTGAACGTGTGAGGTTTGACAATTTATAGATATTTTATAATTTTTTTTCGAATGAAGACTAATATCATGGTACTTGTATTGTTTTGACGAGCTTGAGTTATTGAACATTACTAGATTTTATTATCAATGTCGTCATTCCATCAGTAAAATCGAGAAGCGGTCCAAAATGTCCCCATGTCAATAACCCATTCGCAAAAAATCCGCCTTAAAAATTATCGAACCGGCAGATGATCCGGTCGCAGTTTTTCCCGTTGAACGGAAAATTGTATTAAGGTGCATAATTAGCATTGCAGCTATATTAACTGATTATAAGCTTGAGATATTGCTACTTAATATAAATAATCTCTGATAAAAGAAAATTTGTTTATTAATGGAAAAGTTGCACCAAAAAGTATGATACTACAATAAATAAAAATTCTACTAACACTGTAACAAGCTCTGTCATTTCCTCACACACTCACATCATAGATTAAAGAGCAAAGAATGATACTTTCTTTTCCCAACTTTAGAAAATCATAAGAACATCAAAT